TTTAAAAGTTTAATGCTAAAAGTTGTTTGTTTGTAATTAAGCACAAATCTACACAATGGGCTATCTGTGCTCTGTCCACCACGGGTATCGAAACCCGGTTTCTAGCGTTGTAAGTCCGAAGACATACCGATGTGCCACTGGAGGTCCTTAAAAGTTGAGCTTAAAACTCGAGTCTAACTAAGTGTAAATATGTTTATAAGTTTAAATAAAAATAGAATGACCACATCTGTTCTATCTTGTATATATATATATATTCTTCTGTATATTATTTTAACGTTTATGATTGAATTGTTTATAGTTCTTATTGTTTCTATTTATCTTTTAGTTTTATGTTAAAGATGGAATATGTTTATTCTGAAGCATTGATATGCAATGTATTTGTTTATTTGTTGTGAAGCGCAAATTTACACAATAGATCATTGTGATGTGTCTACCGCGAGTATCAAAACACAAACCTTAGCGTAATAAGCCCCCAGACATACCGTGGGCATCATGCTCGACATTTCAGCTGTGTGGGTGTTATAATGCGACGGTCAAATCCCAATATTCGTTGATAAAGAATAGCCCAAGGGTTGACGGTGGGTGGTGTTGATTAGTTGCCTTCCCTCTGGTCCATCACTTCAAAATTAGAGACAGCTATCCAGATAGCCTTCAAGTAGCTTTGCGCGAAATTCAATAAACAAACAAAACCAAAGAGCGTGAAATATATACTATTCACCCGTAGATACATGTATTTCATCTTATACGTGGTCATTCTATTTTTGATTTAAATAAAGATGTCCTCCTCAGAGGCGTTTTTAACACTTTCCAACTACTCGGTACAATTTTCTTAGGGGGCCATCCGTGCCTATCAGTTATAGGTATAGAAATTTGTTGTTGTTTTCTATTACATTGGGGATCTGCAATACGAGGGGACCGTCGGTGCGTTGCCCCGACGTTAAATACGCCCTGGTCCTCTTCATGAATCTGTTATTACTTAACTTTTTTTTTTAATTTGGGCTATTTCGCCCCTAAACATTATTAAACATTAAAGTATTTCTACTTTAATGCTCTTTAACTGAGACCACTTACACCTGAGTTGATCTGCGTTACAGACAAGTCTCACATTTATACAGCACTTGTTCTCATTATTGTTTTTTTACACATGATATTTCTATCTGATATTTTTTAACCTTTGCGATAAATAAATAATATTAGCATCTTTTGTCAATTATATACAAATTAGGTTGGTATAATTTAGAAAAGTGCATAAATTAAAAATTACGTACAGAGTCAAAACAAAACAAACTTTCTGAATACTCACTTGGAACCCATTTTACAGTCACGCTGGAGAGCAAGAATGAAATAAAACCTGAAGTTTATTAACAAGAATAATAAGCTCTTCAGTCCACGTGAGCAGAGCGAACGAAACTGTAGTGCGTCTATACTACACAATAAAAACCTCTTTTACTTGTAGCAGAGAAGGATGTATTCGCATAACTTACCCTAACCCTAACCGCGTGATCAAATCCTGAGTCCTTATTGGATAAGTAGCAGGTATCCCAAGGAAAGTGTCGAGGAACCTGAAACGAAAATAATGGGCCAGGGACGGCCGTCCTGTTCTTGCAAACTGCTTCGGGTCTTGGGTTAAAGAACGAAAAAAAAAGAAGAAAAACA